TATTAGGGAATTGTGAATCTAGATATGAGGTTTCAGGAAATGCTAATTATGGCGAAATAATTAACATTAATGAATAAATATAAAGTACTATTCTCGGATAGAAAAGCCGTTTCTTCTTTTTCTTCTATGTGTCTTGCCTCTTCAGAACGTTGAAGATCACAGCTCTCCACAATTTTCTCTCCTTTGTATTTTGTTATGTTGTTATCTCTCCTAAACCTTGAACCCTCATCTATTAACATGAAATCGTTAGGTAAGTTAAGGTCTGTATTTCACTGTCCCTTTTGCCATCAATATGTCCTGTGAGTGTGTAGTAATTTAAGCTCACTTTCCTCATTATGTGCCCTCAATGAGACGGTTTTGCTTGGGTCGCAGGATGTCTCTTGTGCACGTAAAAATAGATAGACAATTTGAAAATTATCATCACTCTGCTATATTCATAAAACCTTATCGTTTTGCCTTTTTTTAAACATCGTATCCGTCAATATTTAGATATGAAATATATTAAAAAAATTTAAAATTATGAACAGATGAACAGAAAGAATATAAAGATATATTAACAACAATATGTGACTTACGTGAACAAAAGTTTGAGACAATTGTCCACTTTACGTGAGTGTTTCGTTGTTTAATTTTGACACGGAAGGGATGCAAGGAAAGGTCTGATGATTGCGTCTGTCATATCTGTCGCCTTGAATGTTTACTTCAATGTTCACTTTTTATATTCATATATATATATATATATATATATATATATATATATATATATATATATATATATATATATATATATATATATATATATATATATATATATATATATATATATATATTATATATATATATATATATATATATATATATATATATATATATATATATATATATATATATATATATATATATATATATATATATATATATATATATATATATATATATAGAGAGAGAGAGAGAGAGAGAGAGAGAGAGAGAGAGAGAAATAGACAAATATTCTTTTACAAAGATATGATTACCACAGTGTCAGCTTTTACTATAGTCTTTGGGTCTTGAATGGGTGTGTATGTGTGTGTGTGTGTAATATGTGTGAGCGCGTGTCTACGCGTTTGCGCGCATGCCTACGTTTGTGAAAGGCATTTAAAATTATATATATATATATCACGCATAAAGTGTAAATCACTGGCAGAATAGAAAAAAAATACTCCGTATACCGCATTGTTTCATTCCTAAAATTAAAAGTCCCTTTCATGACGAAAACAGTGAGACTACACTGAATGCAATTTACAATGACATTCATATATATATATATATATATATATATATATATATATATATATATATATATATATATATATATATATATATATATATATATATATATATATATATATATATATATATATATATATATATATATATATATATATATATATATAATATATATATATTATATAAAAAAGTTCGCCCATTAAAAATAGTAATAGCTTCAATTTATGAATATATGTAGCAAAGATAACTATTAAACCTAGACTAGAACTGGTTATGATGGAAGTGGTCCACGTAGATCTCCATCGTTTTTATCCTTCGCGGCTAAGACATTGCCATGACAACTACCCTCTAGCGAACCACCGCCTTTTAATTTGTATTACGTTGTTAAGCAGTTGAGCATTGTTTCCACTGAAACAGCTTTTTCATATGAACCACGGTTTTGTGGAACAGTCTTCCAAGAGGCTACTTCACTGATCATTACAATCTTAACCTGTTCAAATCTTGGATTAACCGTCATCGTTCACATATTGGTTTTTATAAAATGTACCTCATATGTCTTATTTCTGCTGACACAGCAAACTCTTTCAGTAACCCGCTACCTCTAGCGGGCCTTGAAACTTGCATAGTGTGGACGTTTCTCTCTATCTTCGCGATTAAATCCGAATAGTCTCTTACTTATGTGGCAATGTCTGGTTACCGAAGTAACTGTTTTGATTTCTAGTCTAACCTACCCATGTTGTGACGAAATCAATCAGTCGCTGGGCCGTAATGCAAGCTGAGACCGGACAAGGGTAACACCGCACAAACTTACGTGGAAACTAACAAAGGAACAAGTAACATCATAATGTGATATTTTACCATAACTGACTGTTAGATTTTAATTGATTGGTATGCTTTTAGGGGTTATCAATCTTCTGCAGGTTATTTAAACCGTAAAATATTTTAAAAATATAAGACTTTTTGTTTGGAGCTGATAGTGATTTACGAATACAAGGCCTAATTATTAATCCAGAACTTGAGGTAGAATAGATGGATTTATACTTTACCCGAGGGTATTTGCGCATAAGTGAAGATATTAGGCGAGGATTGGAAACCTGTTCTCTGATTTCTACTTCCGACCTGTTATGCATTACACCGCCTTGCACATTCAAGCTTACAACACCTTGTATTCGCAAGTGATCACCCATTAGGCTCGGCGTTGCTTGGCTTCGTTGCAAATGATACGGATACAGGAGCTACACTTGAAGTACACTCATGCGGTACTATCAGATTAACGACATGCTAGGTCCACTTGACGTGTTGATCGTCGCTGCCAGCCTGTAGAATGTGTCTGCGTGGTCAGTTGTATGAGAGGATTTCGGTCT